AGGTCGCCGCATGCCAGGTAGGCTACCTGGTACTGAGGATGGTGGTGGTTGTTGTCAAACATGTGTCGATCTGTTGCACTGGCGGATTTGGGGGTAGGGGACTCTGGACAGCCTGGTCATGTCTGCCAGATAGCAAGGGGACGGGCAGCATCAGGTCTGTAGCTCAATACCACCAACATCTTTTAAGCCCTCTAGTCCTTCAGAAGGAGCAGCTGTTGCAAATCCTTTTGTAACCTGGAATCCAGCCTTGCTCCTTTTTATTGAGGTAGGGGAGGCTGCCATGTTAGACCTGGAGCTGCAATACTCTTAGCTGTTTTCTCATATGGGGGAGGAGGAAATCATTAAGCAAGTACAAGGTATCCATCATAGAGGCTCATTTATTAGCTTAAAACCCATGGTGCCTCCTGGCAAGCCCTTCGAGGCCATTGCTCCAGCCAAGCAGTGGTCATAGCATTAACCTTAGTCTCTAGTAGTGTTGCTTTGTAAATAACAGTTCTAGCTTCGTCTTTTCCCCATTAGGTGCGGGTAATCTGCCGCTAGGAAGAAGCAGGGTAAAATGCATTTTAGCTCAAAAGGTCCGGGACACATCATAACTTCCCATTCCTGACCAAAGTCAAACACATTTACAGCAAGGAAAAATAATTTAGAATTTCACTTGTAAGACATGAGATGAGAAGAGAACAGAGTCGCGCAGGGTATAGTCACCACGCTTCTTTGAAGTATGCCCTGTGTCTGAAAGGGTTTGTGTTTTTTTGCTGTAACCGGTAAAGTCTTTCAGGGGATTGGAAAGTGTCCTTTGAGGATAGGCGGACTGTATACAGGTTTCTGAAAGGGCTTTGTAACTTAAATACAGAGAAGAGCCAATGCAAGATGAAGTCCAGAGAAAAAAAATCCCTTGCCAAGATGCGTGATTAGTTAATAATCACGCAGTTACGAAATTGTTTGAAAATAACTCCATTGCTGCCCTTCACTTCTGTTTTTTTAATTTTTTTTTATTTTGCTGCCTTTAAAAAGTTGATTAGTTTCATTGCAGGTTTGCTTCTGCTACTAATAATTAGAGTTGTTATTTAAGGCAGTTTTAAAACAGGATAAAGCTCATCATAACTTGGGACCTAGGGTTGGGTCTTTTTTGGCATTCTGGTATATGCCCGGGTTTAAGAAATTAGAATATAGTTTCAGACAAGTTTTATTGACCTAACCAATGGAGCTTGTTTCTTTTTTAATCTTTGATGCTTTCATAGCAAGTAGGGATCCTCTGGCAGTTTCTTATTTTGAGTCTTTCTTCTACTTTCTTTCTAACTAAGAAACTAGAAATGATTTCTGGATTTAGTAAACTTTGCTTTTGCCCAAACACGTCCTTGAATTTGTTTTTTCTCTTCCCCCAGGCTGATTTAACTGGCATTAAATGGAAACGATACGTATGGCAGGGCCCAACATCTGCCCCAATTCTCTTTCCTGTAACGGAAGAAGACCCCATTCTGAGCAGTTTCAGTCGCTGTCTGAAGGCCGACGTACTGAGTGTTTGGCGGCGCGATCAGAGACCTGGACGCAGAGAGCTGTGGATATTTTGGTGGGGCGATGACCCCAACTTTGCTGACCTTATTCATCATGACCTGGCAGGTAAGAGACTATTACTAGATTTTGTTCAGTCGGCGTAAGGAATATGCTCCTTCACCCTCGTGTTCTCCAGCTTCGTAGAAATGACACTAAAGATGTACAGCTCATCTTCTGTAGTATCGTGACCTGACAAACTGCTCAGTTTGAATGTATGGTGCTGATGGGCTGGGGTAAAGAGTCAGATAACTCTGGTGGTGGGATCTTCTCATAACGGAGCGTCTGTTCTGAGTCTTGTAGTGCGATAGTAAATTGTGTGCCTATTTGGGATTAAACTGTCTGTCTACCCAGAAGAATGGTGCCCCCTCTTTACTTGCAGATCCTGTTACTTTGATAAACAAAGGGAATTATGTGAATTTTTGGTGGGTTTCTTCTCAAAAAGAGGAAAGTGTCCAAAGCTGTGCCTGTGGTTTAGGCGTGGGATGATCTGACACTTCAGAATGATGCTTTGGTATGCTGTCGTCATAGGATGTTCAGTAAATCTCTGTATTCACATATTAAATCTCAAAACTGTTTTTTAAGGTTTAGAAAATTGTGAGACCAGGTGAAGTAGTCTTCCTTGGAATAAAATCACCAGCCAGAATATTCAAAACAAGATGCCTAAATTTAATTGGTATCTTTGGCAGAACAATACATCCTAAAACCCATGTCTATTAATACTCTTTTTGTTCAGAGGTGCTGTGCATCTATAATCGCCTCTGAAGTCAGTGGAGGCTTAGCAGTGTTGAAAAGCAGGCTGCTCTTATTTAGCTACTGTTATATCTTGGTACTAATTTTAGGCACCTTATTTTGAAAATGTTGACTTGTAATATTTATTTTCTATTCCAGAAAGCTTTTATTTTACTTTATTTTTTTGAATAATCTTGCTGCCAAATATATCTGTTTCTTTTCTGTGTGTGTTGCTGTCAGAGTTAAACTATTGCCTTTGTACACACATACTTTGAAGTCTGACAAGTAACTTTACAGACTTTTTTTATACAATAGCAGCAAGTCATATTATACTTTCATTTAGAATAATAAGTAGCATTCACACTGTTGTAGTTAAAAAATGAGGCCTACGTTTGATTATGCTTTTGGTGAAAATGGAAATCTGTTCATTCTCTATGGGGAAACTGCTTGCAGGTGAATAAATGTTGCTGGAAGGAACCAAAATTTCGTTGATGCTGTTTATGCAACCACAGACACATTTGCTCTTTAGTATGAAATTGAAAAATTTCGATATGTACAGCTATTTTATAGAAAGGAGTTTCCTGTTTTAGGTAACAAGAGGATATTATGTACTGGAAAAAGACTTCATGCAATATGCTGACAGGTGTTTATGATGAAGTACTTGAGTTTCTGAGAATTGGGATGCTGCTACGGCTACTACTACTACTAGCAGCCCTGTAAATGGAAACGTTGCATCTTAGTGCAGGCTGTAGTCCTGTGTTTACAGCTTCCTTATTTTGCCCTAGGAATGACCTCAGTCCTGACCCACAGGGACCATCTTCTGTATGGCTGAGATGTAACTTAGACTCAATGCTATTTTTGCCCTGGGCCTTTCCCGAGCCAGAACCAATGCTTGTGCAGAAATATCGATGTAAATTTTGTACAGTGTTGCCTGCTTGGGGCTAAGTTGAAATGGGCATATTCCATTTTCATTCATTTATTTTTTTTAATAGACCACAGGACGGAAGTTAAGCGATGTTGGAAGCTTCATTTCTAAACTAGTTTCGTGCAAAATTTTGATTGGTCCAGGTTTTCTTTTACAAAAAAACCCCAAAACATTGATGTAAAGCAGAGGTGCAGGAGGAATGTGATGAAGTTTGCTTCACAAACTATTGGCCTATTGCAGTTGAATTTTCAGAACCAGCATTTTGCTAGGAGATTCTTTGGGACGCTTGTGCTCTCGTACATGGGTCAGCCGAGTCCTTCCCGGAAGTGTTGAACTCTGAGTTTTACTAGAGTGTAATGGGGAGCTGATGGAGGGTTGGCTTTTTCTCAGCCTTACCTGTAGGTCTGCTTTTGGATCTTTCTTTTATTTAGGTTTGCTCTGTTTTGTGTGTGTAGGTAGGTTGGAGTTGACCAGGGCTCGCTGCATTTTGGTACAAGGGTGGTTTCAGTCCCAGATGTACTCATTTCCTTGCAGCTTCTGTGACTAAAAGCTCATTACTTTTCCCCTCTGGTTAGGCATATCTGATCTCTTGTTCCAGCAGGGAGGTTCCTGTCTCAAAGTCTGGGTGATGGCGCTAGTCTGTTTGATTCTGTGTACCTGGTGGTAGATATATAGGTGATCTCTAGGAGTTGAATTGGCTGGTTTAGAGCAGAGATACAGGTGAAGGCAGCTCTCCAGCTTGCTTGTTAATGTGAGCATATCCGAGAGGTATGAGTGAATCTAAACAATACTACTTGACAGATTCATTGTTTATGGCTGAAATCATTAATGGACAGCTTCCCTTACTACTTCAGACTGTCCCATCCGTCTTGTGGTCACTTACGCTATTTCTGGAAAAGAAAAATTGCATCTAGGCTGAAGCCTGCCACCTGCAGCTCTGATGTTCGGTGAAGACAGATAGTTGGACTGCACATTATCAATGCTGTCGCTTAGCAAAGGAAGGATATTCACCATCCCAGAGGTGATATGGGGACCTGAGTGTACTCTGGGACCATTCTCATGATGCTATTGTGTGTGCTACTGCCTTGAAACGAGCCTTCTTCAAGGACAAGTGATTTGCTAAGACAGTAGTTATTTACTTCCAGGCGTGACTGGACGCCGGTAACAGTCTGGCTTCTCTTTGGAGTTTGATTCACCGTGAGTTGTATATTTAGTGAGTAAAGGACATTGTTTTTCTCTGGAACGGATTGCGGTGAACAGCTTCTATGAAGGTTTGGCTATGGCATCTTTCAAGACTGTCACGTGTGGGATCTTGGCAGGAACAGCTCTAAACAGAGTATCACTGCTCTTCATGTGAAATTCAGTCATATATTGCTTGCCGTGTCATCTCTGGAGGTTTGTTCTCTGCTCTGGAGGGACACATGCATGGCTTGACTGTTGGGTACATCTGAACTCTCCTTATCTGGACTTTGATAAGAAACTCTTGCAATAAATTGAGATAGTGACTCTGATTTAAGAATTTTGATTTTTTTCAGTCAAGCTTTGTTTTTGTTTTTTCTTGAGAGCCATTTGTCAGATGTGATGCAAAAAATTGTTCTGGCTGCTTAGTTTGTTCTTGTCAGTGGCATTAATTTACCCTTTGAGAGCCTCACAAAGGTAACATGTTGTAGTGGCAATGCAGCTTGATTTATAGAAATTCTCTCACAGCAAGGCTTAAAGGAGGACACCTCCGCTACTCTTCAGCTTGTTCAGAATGCCGCAGCATGTTATCTCGTTGTTTTGAACAGCCGTAATCATCTTTCACTGTCTCTGTGGGATTTAAAATGGCTGTTCAGAAATGTGGGGTTTTAATGTGGGCAAAGGTATACTCCCAACCCCAAAACTACGTAGGTACGAAGCGTGCTCGAGACCTGACAGCTGCACTTTGATGCTGACTTTCTAGGGATCCCACCAGTGGGCCTTTGGCCAGCTGATTTACACTTTTTGCTGTGGTAAGCCATAAGGTGTGAACATTTTTTCCCTAGGTCTCTGTTTGTCTTTTCTAATTAAATAAAAATAAATCTTCTGTTGGCCTATCTTTATTTGCTGAATTCATCCTTTGTATACTAGAAGCCCCTTTTTTTGGGTCATACGTTTCCAAATGTGATGTGGTGAGGGAGGAATAGAATGAGAAAAAATAACATGGTGAATAGGAGAATGATCCAACAAAGCCTGTACATTCTTGCACGTGTATTGTTGGTTATTTTTCTCGTGAAGGGCATGCAGCTGTGACTTTTTGGTGGCAGAAATAATTCTGAGTGTTGAGTAAGGATTCTCCAGCTTCCTTGGTATGAACTACATTTGAATAGTGTGCCCTAGGTCATCCCCTTCCTGATTCCAAGTCTCGTGGATCATTTAACTGGCACGGATGTCTGTAGCCTCTGCCAATCTGCAGCAGCTAGAAGGCAGTAGGAGAGCCAGCACCATGTGACCTGCCAGCTTTCTGCAGACAAGAAAGTTGTCCAAAATCCACATTTTTGAGATCCGTTTTGCTGGTGATTTGTTTGCTTGGTTGTCAGTGCTTGCTTTTGAAGCCCTCTGTTTTCTGTTGTAAGTTGGAGTCTTGCTCTGGACTGCTGTGGAAGACGACCCCCAGTCAACCCAGCTGGAGATAGGCACCTGGTCCTTCGGACCCAGGGATCAAAGGCAGCCGGTTCAGATGTTAAACACATCACTGGGTGCTGTTAGCTGCAGAAGATGATATGCTTTGTCCATGTTAGTCTGACCATCTTGTTCTCTAAAGGATAAATGCCCCACTCCAAAAATGTGCACCAGAAACCTGTGCAACATCCAAATAACTTTATCGTCTGTAGCTATCCATATGCCTATGGGTGCTATAGCGGGGAGCAGTGCATTTCTCGTGTCCTCTTTCTCTCTTCAGCTCTTTTGGCCATCAAAGTTAACTGTACAACATATTCTTTAACATACTGGTGTCCTCCATGTGGAGACACGTCCAGCGCAGCAAAACTGCTAATCAGCATTATGCAAACATTGCAGAACCAGTCTTTAAGGAACATCTTTATCTGCAGCTTTTTTTTTTTTTTTTTTATCTTGCCACTTACTATGCATAATAGCTTGAAGGTACTGTTGATGAAATCTTTCCTCTTTGTAGTGCTGGCAGTAACATGTCCATCTGAAACATCTGTAGATTAAGCTGAGAATTGCTACAGTATAGTAAACACGGACTTTGGGCTCTGCTGTGATGATACGCTGTGTCTGTTGTTTGCAGAATATAGCCTTTATACATTCAGGCAGAGAGCCCTTTGTCACTGAAGATGATGCTTGACAAAGCTCCTTTAGCATAACTGACATGTATCTGCATACCTAATTACTCCCAAACTCGGAGGAAAGCAAAGTTACCGTGTTAGATTGT